CTACGCGACCTAAAAGGCCGACCTACCCAGGCTCAAGCCTGCCTGCACGAGCTTCTCCTCGGCCAAGTAGTCCAAGCAAAGGAAGCCTACCGATGCCCATGACAACATCATTTTCCGAATCTCAGGGTTCAGCTCGGCCCCGGGGTCCTGGATGGTGCCCCTCCAAGCAGTGGGAAAGGGCCACCCTTCGGGGTTACGGACCACAAAGTAGTCCCGCTTCCAGGCGGGAATCTTGTTCGGCAGCTCGTACAAGAGCTTATAGCCGCGACGGGGAGAGAGGTAATAAAAGCGCCTCTACGGAGGAACCACAGGAGCTGTGTCCTTTATACAAAGGATAGAGACAAAAATGTCAAGGTCCAAATGAAGGCAATACTCGTGACACAGGGATATAGTCCCAACCATGTTTCGAACGGCGTTGGGATGAAGCTAGTCAATAGTGACGTTGAAGTGATTTAGCACCTCCACTATCAAGGGGTGCAGGGGGAGACGCAAGCCAGCCTCGAGCTGTTCCTAAAAGATTACTATGTCATTGGGACCATGCTCCCAGGGGAAGTTGCTAGTAGAGAGGCTATAAACCAGGTCCCCAGGGAGGCAAAAGTAGCGGATCAGAGACCTGAGTCTCTCCGCTGTCATTAAGGAAGGGCCAAAGGTATCAGACTCTCTCCCCCTAGAAGTAGACGCCATGTCGCCAGAGGCCTCCCGAGCCTCTGGGATCTACTCCCAGGCTCTCCCCGAGCTCGAGGGAGCATCATCGTCCTGGCTATCGCCCCTGTGATAAGTATGGCGTGGGTACCCAGACATGGCTGACGGCGATTGGGACTCACTAGAGTAGACAGAACGGAGCAGACTGAGGAACTCGAGTAGACTAGGCGAAGTACGCGACCTCAGAATCCAAAGACAGCAAGATGGCGTGGAAGAAGATAGGGCCCGAGGGGGCCCCCTATTTATAGTCCCCATCCTTTCAAACTGACGGCCCAGATCAAAGCAGATCCAACGGTCCGCGGGCGCCCTGACCGCACGCCTTCTGAAAACCGAAGGCGATTGGCGGCACATCTTCCACGATTAAGGTAGTCGCAGCTGCACGATGTTCGGAATTAAAGGCCACCTCAGCACGTTTTTGGAATCCGAAAAGTCAGAGAAGTCAGAAGATCCCTCGATTCCCGCAAATGCATTTAATGGGGATAGTCAATCAAGTTTGAATTTCGGTCAAATCAGTCCATCGCGCTTCATAAACTCCCCGCGCTAAGGCGATACTCTTAGCCTGAGGAGTGGGGGTAGTTGATGAAGGATGATTTGACCCGACCTATGAAACGGCGACACGTGGACATTGACTCAGCGTAAGCGACAGCTCAGCGTCGCGGCCCAATACAACTAAGTAATGGGCCCATAAAGCAGCTCGCTACATCGTAGTGCGCTAAAGGAGGAGCTCGCCACAACGCGAGCTCTGGGTTCCCCGAGCTACCTCTAAAGGGATATTCCGAGGCAACTTTAACTTGCGAACTAAGAAAACCAGCTTGCCCGAGCTCCCAAACAGACAAGTCATCCCGAAGACCAATTCTATTAAGGGTACTCCTGAAGTATTCCAAGCTCGCTGCAAAGTAGCTCGCAAATGGGTCGCTCGAGCATTCCTCAGGAAGCTTCTATTTAACAGGCCGTACCAGTCAGACTATGCCACGTCCCTAACTGATGGCGCAGTCCCTGTCCTTTCGACAGTCTGTGCCCACGTCTCTCAGTAGGCGGAGGCGTGCCTGTCACTTTGGGGATGTGTCACTTGCCCGGGCAAGGGGTACGTCACAACGGCTACCTGCGCAGCCCTGGCAGGTAACGGCTGTGGCAGGGGCCCAGTGGCGGTTATGCCCGATCTCACAAGAGCGCTCCTATAAAAGCCCTCAGGGCAGAGGAGAAACTTCTTCTAAAGAAAAACCTCTAATCTCTCGGATATAGTGATAAAGTGCGACCTCCACTCTTAGCCTTCGTTTTTCTCTTTACTTTCTATACACAGTACTAACTTAAGCATCGGAGTATTCCCACCGGGTAAATCCCCGGGAATCCTTCCTTTCGTCTTCTCAGGTGTCGCTCGTTGCCAACAAGGAGCCAGTCAGTAGTCAGCCAGGAGTGCCTGGATCGTGCTACATCAAAATTGATCAAAATCAAAGCTATTTTCTTATTTAAATGGTGGGTTAATGATCCAACTTTTCAAAGAAATTCATGATGTAATAATTGAATAATAAATATTTAAAAAATATAGAACACAAAAGATAAAAAGTATAGAGTTTTGTCAAAGACATTTTGGAACATTCCTAATGTTATATAATCTTCATATTAAATAAAAATAATTTTTAAAATAAAAATGACTTTTATTTAAGACATAAATGGAATACAAAATTTAGTAGTAGTAGTATTACTAATACTACTACTACTACTACTACTACTACTACTACTACTACTACTACTACTAATAATAATAATAATAATAATAATAAAATTTAGTAGTAGTAGTAGTAGTATTAGTATTATTAGTACTACTNATAATAAAATTTAGTAGTAGTAGTAGTAGTATTAGTATTATTAGTACTACTACTACTACTACTACTACTAATAATAATAATAATAATAATAATAATTATTATTATTATTATTATTATTATTGTAATTTAAAATTTCTACTGCTGCACATTTAGTATAAGTATTTAAGTTTATTTTTAACCATATTGGTACTTTTATTAATTTTCAATTTCTATCATAACTATGATATATCTAAAATTCAAGTAATTAATATGAAAAAAAGTTCACACGTGCAACACATGTACTTAATTACTAGTAAGAGATAAGTAATTCAAAATATTTCATGACCTTATTGGCCAAATTAGGAAAAAAGAAGTTACCCTATTTTTATGTTCTTAATTGAATTAAGTTAAATTCTAATGGGTGTGAATTGATGTGGATACAATTATTTGATCAATCCCTTCTTTATTTGAAAAAGTAATTCAAAATTATATATTTCAAAAATCATTATGGATATATGAACAAATTATAAAATTTCCATTTATTGATATTGGTAATCTACCCAAAGCAATTATAACTCAATTCATGACAATTATAAGTAGAAAGTTTATATTCTTTGGTCATTAATAAACAACCCATTGGACAATACTCGATACAACCCATTGGACTGGCTTGGTTGGTTGAGCTGTGACCCAAGGCTCTGGCCGGTTCGATCATACCCCAATAATCAGACTTGCTCAAAACCCATTAAAAACCAGCTGATTAGCCGGTTGAACCAGAAAACTAGTGAACAGGTCCCGATTTCATGAAACCACCCGGGTCCAGTGAAATTTTCAAATGTTATTAATAAGATTTGAACCCATAACCTTTTGTTTTCATAAATTACTTAATTACCACTAATCCACCTCTTTACTTATTTTAATTAATAACTATTTATTATACATGTATTTAAAAAAATGTAATTTAAAAGGCTTGAACCCTAGCCATTTGTTTTAAAATTTAAGAAGTTTATCATCCATCCACTATATTTAAGTATATTAAAAATTGTAAAATATATTATATATAGTATTTATATGACTCATAGTATATATATGTATATGCCATGTCATCACGGTTCAATTCCAATCAAACCTCCGACCCATGAACCTCTCCTTTCTCCGGTTCTATGCCCGGTCCGGTTTTTTGAACATTGCAAAATATACAAATCCAAAATCAAGACTAGTGGATTTAGATAAAAAACAACTGTATATCAAAAAGTAATCTCTCACATTTTGCAATGGAAGAAATTATAAAAACAACAAATCCAGATATATTTCCACCACAAATTCCATCCCCTAAAACCATATTTGATGCCTTAACCATATCAACCATACTTGAACTGATAGATAATTATAATTGGTGTTAGCATCATTGCTCCAATCACTACACTACAGAACCTTACATGAAATAGCTTAATCCTTATTGTATCAATCGATATTTCTACCCATATCTTTCGATTACAATGAGGAATTCTATTTTCTTCATGAATTATGATAATAATTCTATCACTATGAATATGGACAAAAGGAAACAAAAATCTTATTTCATTTTTGCCTATTGTAATTGCATTCCATTTCTTCCATTCATATCCTATTTTCTCGGAAAAGGGGGACTCTAAAAAAATAGAAAATTACTTCGTTTCCTGATGTCATTTCTTTAACTCTGGATCAGGATCATGGGGAAGCAATTCTTGATTATTTCTACCAACTTAAAGGCCTCATTAGGATTCCTTTTATTTTTTATGGTAAAATAGAAAAACCTCCCTTAAAGTTTCGGACAATCATAAAAACCTCCCCTATGGTTTTACTTTAATAAAAATTTTCCCTCTATTTCTGAAAAATTCAACAAATACCTCCCTTCTGTCAATGACTAAGACGGAAAACATTACGAAGATAATTATTTTTTTCAAAATACCTATTTTACCTTTTTATAAATTAATGTACTTTTACTAAACTAGACCCAGATCTGACTTGAGAGTCTGGCTACAATAACGTTATCCATGGAAGTTTGGTTAAATTTAATTTGATTGATTGTGGAGTCAGGAATTTGGTTGAGTAGGGGAAGACCAGTAGCCAATGCTTCCCAACTTCCAAGCTCCTGACAAACTGGACTCGTAGAGTAGAGTAGTAGATTATGTACAGGTACTATCCCCTATTTTCTTACTCCCTCATCCATTCAAACAAATTAAACTGTTTTTTCCCGGGTGGGCGGGGAGGATTGTTTTGTGCCAGGAGACTGGAACCGGAAGTGAAGGACATTTGATTACAGAGAAGAAGTAAATTATCCAAGAAAAAATGAAAAAAAGAAATGGAAAAGAAAAATACGAAGACAACAACCACGTGGTCCTCCTAGTGAAGTTTTATCGGCTGTTACCAACAAAGCAAATAAAGGAAGCCATAAAACCCGGCGAGATAGGAAGGATCAGACAGGGGAAGAGATGCCGGCCCTAGCATGTTATGGCCCTCCCTCCCGGTTACGCTATTGCCGGGGATAGCTCTCTTCCCGCGATGGAAGCATTTTCTGGCGTACCTTCGGGGACAAACACTACCTCCTCCGTCGACCATTCCCATTGGTCCCCGTCCCTCTCGGCCTCTCTTTACAAGATTGACAGCTGGGCTGCCCCTTACTTCTCCGTCAACTCTTCCGGGAACATATCGGTTAGCCCGCACGGTGCCGAGACTTTCCCTCACCAAGGGATTAACCTAATGAAGGTCGTGAAGAAGGTTTCCGAACTGAAATTCTCCGGAGAATTAGGTTTACAATTTTCTCTTATTGTACGCTTTCCTGATGTTTTGAAGAACAGCCTCGAATCTTTGCAAGCAGCTTTTGATTCCGCGATACTTTCTCAAGGCTATGATTCGTATTATCAAGGCGTTTACCCAGTGAAATGCAACCAGGATCGTTTCGTGGGGGAAGGCATCGTTGAGTTCGGATCGCCCTTCCGGTTCGGCCTCGAAGCTGGATCGAAAACCGAGCTCCTCCTTCCGATGACCTGTCTATGCAAAAGTAATCCTGAAGATTTTCTTGTCTGCAACGGTTACAAAGACGTGGAATACATCTCGCTTTCTTTGATTGCGAGGAATTCCATCTGAACACAATTATAGTGATCGAGCAAGAGGAATAACTTGACTTGGTAATTGACATCAGCCTTAAACTTGGTGTGCGTCCGATGATCGGTGTACGTGCCAAGATGATTGGTGTTCGAGCGGATTATGGAGTGCACCGCCATTCTGCCGTTGTGCATCCTGAGGAAGGAAGAAGATGAATGGTGTTTGGGTTAATGTGTTGCTGAGATAGGGCTATTTTAGTAAAAATAGATGTACATTAATTCATAAAAGGGTAGAATAGGTATTTTAAGAAAAAAGAAGGGAGATATTTGTTGAATTTTTCAAAAATAGAAGGAAGATTTTTGCTAAAATAAAATTATTGGGGAGGTTTTTATGATTGTCAGAACCTTTAGGGAAGGTTTTTGTATTTTACCCTATCTTTTATCTAAAAATATCATTTGGATAAAATTTTTTAAGAATACAAGGAAAGTTTTTGCTAAAATAAAATTATAGGAGAGGTTTTTATGATTGTCAGAAACTTTAGGGGAGGTTTTTGTATTTTACCCTATCTTTTATCCAAAAATATCTTTTGGATAACTTACCTTATCTTCATTTCTAATCCTTTGTGTACCTTGGTGTTCCTAACCACACACTCATTTTGCACCCACTTCAAGCCATGATGACTAATCAATAATCTTAGGGTAAACAATTGTTACTATTTTTGTTTACTTCTACTCAACTCTTGTACATAGGAATGAGACTCAATTCTTTTTAATAGGAATTTATTAGTTGTTTTGTTTCACTCATGTAACTATTTGGTTTATTTCATTGACCCAAATGATGAATAAACAAATCACGACATGTATTCAATACAATCAACTCTTTTCTAATGTAAAAAGAAAAAAATAGATAAAAGTTCATATTCCAATGAATCACACATAAAGATATTGATAACACATGAAGTTAATGGTATTTCATAACTAATTGATTGAGAAAAAACTCATAGACCACTTGAAAATGAATTTTTGTTATTAATAATCCATATCCTCATGACATAAGAAGTCCAATAGGAACAATACTTAAAATGGCAATCCATAAAAATAAAGCATTTATACTAAGATCGACTAGAACAAGGTGACAATCTAAAGGAATTACTAATAATTTAATAGAATTGATATGACTGATAAAGATGGTCCAATACTAAATCAATAAGTATCTTCTCTAGATGGTAGAAAATCCTCTTTAAACATTAGTTTAATTCCATCTGCTAGATAGAGCATGAATAATTCCCAAAGGGCCAGCATGCATGTTGGGGTCCGGTATGTTGTATTTTTGTGGATGTTTCTCATTCATTCTAACCACACAATTACTAATACCCCGATTGTGATTTATGATATAAGAATCAAAATAGGGACAAACAACCATACGGGCTCATAAACTTCTTTTAAGGATTTCAATTTGGAGAAATAATTCATAACTTGTGCTTTTTCAATATCAACTATCATTTCACCGATCAACTTCTCTTATAATGATATCTATACTACCTAGTATTGCTATGATGTTAGCCAATTTCATTCTTTTAATTGGTTGAAAAAAAATTGCAAATTATTAAAACTTAATGAATAAATTTTCCATCTCCAAGGAAAAACAGTCTAATTTCTTATCAGATAAAAACAGTCTCATAATGATTGACTTGTAGCAATTGATCCTAATTAACCCCAATTTATTGCTTCCTCTCCATCAATAATGCCAACTCCTTCGACTCGTTTAAACAAAATGAGATTCCATATAATAAGCTTTTGATATTCAACAACCATAATTATAAAATATTTGCAGAAATCCCAACATTTATCCATATATCTAGCCATAAATTAAATCAACAACTACTCCAATATGGAAATAATTATGCATAATCCGCATGCCTATGGCAGCTTAGGAAAAAATCATATATTAATTCTCTCTATGAAAATATAGAAAAATGGAGTCTGTGCAATGATATCCACTATAGAAGGGCCAAGCCATAATAAATGAGAAGCTATACGACTCAACTCCAATATAATAACTCTGATATAGCTAGCCCTTTTAGGAATTTGAACATTTCCCAATTGTATAACTGAATTTGGGTTTAGGTCAATAACATCTTCACCATCTAGAGTAGCGATGATTCGAAGAACACCATGTATTGATGGGTGGTGAGGGCCCATATTGACTATAAGGTCTTTTCTTGTAACCAGTACAATCATATATATGTTTTTTCTGTGGTTCATTATTCCATGAATCTTGAAAATAAAATGAAGTTCATTAAAATTCAAGACTAATGAATCAAATAATTGAAAATGAATTTTGGCTTTGGAATATCCAATTAACTAATTAATTCTTTATAAAGTACACTAATTTTGTTGACATTCTAAAATTTTTCGTAAACCTCTTTGAGATAAATAGTCTTTTTTGTGCAATTCCAAATGTGAAGTAAAGCCCCATTTTTTTTTGTGAAATTTAATTCTTAAAATTTAATAACCCCTTGTTTTGGTTTTCTTTTTTTTTCTTTTTGTGAAATAACTGAGATGAATGATTTTTTTACTATAAAAAGAATTCTTCACCCCTTTCTTTTCTATGGATTTGAATTTTACCCTTGTTTTTGTTTTCTTCTTTTTCTTTTTGTGAAAGATTCTGTCAATTCATTCATAGATCTAACTAATATGTCATTGAGTTAGTATCTTGTATTAGAATGTAATACAATACATGTATGGATTTGTTTATTTTCATATATGATCTATGGTAGAGATATATACTAATTGAATTATACTACCAATTACATTTTAATTATGGATACATACGTATCCTTAACATATTAACGACTACCATCATTGGTATCAAACTATTAACAATTCATACAAGCTAAATCATCTAATTGATAATTAAGCTAAGAAAAAACTTTAAGTTAATATTAATGAAATTATTTGTACATGAAGATGTTTTTTGTAAGTCAAAAATTGACCACAATTCTTTATGTTGTTTCTATTATAAAATATTATATTTTTATCTATAACATTTCTAATTTCCAAATGGAAACAAATTGGAATTCTCAATTTTCTACCACGTCTAGGTGATAAAATATTTTCAATAACAAGAAATTTGTACCAATTTTTTTGCTTCCATTCCCAATCATCTATTCATGTCCTGCAATGGATTCATTAAAATCATTTTTATCAACGTACCTTTCTTCTCAGCATCTTTGATTAGTTTGGTATTTATTCTTATGGACCAAAGAAATACCTATGGTTTCATTCATAATAACATAATAAATTATCCATCTCATTTTATAGACAAATGAACAAGTTGATAATAAATGTTCTCCCTTTTTATCAATTATGTATTTTGAATCACCATTACATCCATACTCATTTCCCTCATTTGAATAGAAGATATAGTAATTTCCTTTGGATTTATCAATCTAAATAGGAGATATATTTTGATATTATTGATCATTGTTTTATTCAAAGGATCATCCATTTTCAATTGAATAAATAAATGCTTTTTTAAGAAATCTAGTTATATTTCTGTGTTGTTCTTGAATTGCCTTTTCTTTTTATGATTTTTATGTTTTATTCTGTGTAATATTTTTCAATATTATTTTGTTGGTTTGATAGAATTGATCCAAGATTCTCTTGGTTTTGCGCATCTGGTCCAAGATCCCCTTGGCCTGGCGGTCCTTTTTCTTCTTGATTTCGATTTTCTAATTCAAGAATTTTTTTTTCATTAGATGATATGCATGATATATAGAAACCCTTTTTTGTTTTCTATTGATGTTTTTATTTTCACTAAATTTTTCATTCACATTCCAATTTTAAAGAAGTAATTTAATTGGTATGATCCATGGTTTAATCTTATAGTAATTCTAAAAAGAACTGACGTTTCAAATTTGAAATGGAATAATTTAGTTTTTTTTTTTCATTCATTTCCATCCAATCAAAAAGGTTTTTCTTTTTATTTGATGGATTGTTTTCTTGATGAATCGTGAGGTAAAAAGGCCTTTTTATCAAAATTTTCAATTTTTTGATAATCATTAGTTCYAGTCTTAGTTTTTTTATTAATGTTGGCCCTAGTATCCATATCAGCACTGACCTTAATATCAAACTTTTTTTTTCTATTTTCAAGACAAAACTGGTGAACTTTCCAACCAAATATTTTCTATCTAGATATTTTTTTTTATATCAATAATATAATATTCTCCTAAATAATTACTAATAAGTAAATCCCTCAATACGTCAAATGAATCAGGTTTATGTGCATTGTAATTATAGGGAAGCCCTGGGCCCTCATTTACTTGTAACGGCGATTCATAAATATATGAGTCCTTCTTATCTTCATAATTAATATATTTATGTAATATAAAATCATATCTATAGTATTTTTTAAATGTGTCATTTTGATTCGATAATGAATTTAGTGTATAATTGTTTTGTTTTTCGTGTGAACCCAACTTTGAAATGAAAGATATGGGTGATTCTAGTTATGTGCTTGAAATTAAAATAAAAAGAGATAGAAAAATTAAAATCTAAAAAAAAAAAAACTCTTTCACAAGAGCATTGCCTATAGAAAATCTTAAGGAAATTTGGCATAAAAAATTGTAATTGAGTTGAAACTCCAATTTACAAAGGATCCAAGTAAGTAAAGATATGACTCCCACTAATGATAAAGAAATGCAGTAAATGAAATAAAGATCATATGTTCAAGCTATAGGTAGCTTAATGCATGCAATGCTTGCAAAAACCCTTGAATGTTCTTCTTGAGCTCTCTCTGCATTACCTCCTCTCCGACGAATATAGCAAACATTGGCGGTGGTGATAGGTGATTTCTACCCCATTTTTTCCATTTTCTTCTATTTGGTTCTACTCCTCTACATCACTTCCCTCTCGAATGATAGTTGTAGATGACTTTCTTCTCTACGTTGCCTCTTCTCCAATGAACATTGCGAGCAATGACAATTTGGCGACTACCCACTTCAACCCAATGATAAAAAACTGTTAATGGAGAGGGGTTTGAGTCGTTTGACAACAACAACCATCAAGTTGATGACTAATATATTAATTTCAGCCTCTTATGAGCAAACGACTAAAGAAGATCAGCTTCATGTACATCAATGATCAGTTAGCTAGTGAACAAAAAACTAAAGAGAAGGGGCTTGACAGTAGCAAGCCAGTGACCAAATAGAATGGTTTCATAGTTTGTGAAGCAAAATCTAGAAAACAACTCAATAATCTTTTTTTCTTGGTTGTATAGATTTTTGTAGAGTTTGGAGTAATTAGACAGTAATTACTCTACAGGTTTTCTCAATTTGAGATCTAATTGGTTTTCAATTTCCCCTTGGTAAACAAGAATTTTGAGTTGTTTTTATATTTTTGTTACATGATCTTCTTATTATTTTGGGTGCTATTGTCATTACACTTTTTGGGTTGAAATTCTAATAGGAACGGTTTGGTTCTTAGGGTTTTGCAAAAATGGGGGTAAACTGGTAAAATTGTTAGTTATCAGACATAAGAGGATCACTCCAACACAAACACTACAGATTTTTAGAGGCTTTGAAAAATAGAAAAGTATTGTGCAACTTTTTAGATTCAAATGTAAAAAAAAAAAAAAAAAAAAAAAAAAAAAAACTTTTCAGACTTCAGATTTCAGAATTATTAAACGCCACCTTGATGATAACTAAGGTGCTATCAAGACGATAAAAAATAGTGAGATTAGTCCTAAAGGAAAAAAAAATATCGATCCATTAACAAAACCCATAGTTGTTATAGACTATGAGGGCCACATGTAAGCAATGGGATTGGTTGGGGAGTATTCATTTCGGGCTTAATTGGTCAGGTGGGAGATGATGGAAGAGTGGCCATAGGCCTTCATTTGATCCTCCACATGTTGAAAATATCCAATGACCATGTGATAAATCACATGTTGATGGAAGGTTAGTTCTCTTTGCAACACTTTCACACAACCAAGTTTTTCTTTTTTTATTATTAATTATTATTTATTTTCTATAAAAAGATTTTTTGGTTGTTTACTTCTTTGAAAATGACTTTTGTTTTTACATAAAGATACCATTGGATCCTTATTTTCAGTTCTTACTAGGTCAATGGAAAAACCATTTGGCTTGGTGTAGGATGGATGACCAAGTGATGAGATCCTTGGTTTTTGAAACATTTGTCTCTATCTGATGGAGCATAAATCAGTTCATTGAGGAAATAGGCTATATATATGGGCACTCCCAACTTCAAGAATACATACGACCTCAGAAAGAATAAGAAGGATAAGAACCTCCAATCTGCTCCTGCTCTATCCAGGTTCAGCAGTCCTTGATTGCACTCTGCTATTGTGGGCTAGTGTCTCGGATTGTTTGAACATTTCTTGTAGGTGCTCCATTCAGATATCAGCCATCCATCACCAGGTGATCAGATCTCTCAAAGATTTTAACAAATTTGATTTGTTAATGTTTGAATTCATTATATTCGTTAGTCATATGAGACTCAGATTCTATTTAATATCTGAATGATTAACAAAATTAATCAAAAATGACTGATATTGTTTATCTGCATATGATGACTTGAAAATAACTTTTATGAGATTTGAACTTATGAGTTCTTAAGAAAATGCAACATTCTAATCAACCTTGCTAATACATATATGTTAATTCTATATATAATTGGATTCATATTAGATATAATAGATCCAATTACAAATGGATTGAATCTTGGAAATTCAATTCGAATTTGGAGAAACAGATACCAAATGGTGTACATGATCATGACAGAGCATGATGTGGCACACTAAGTCACTGATTCTACTACATCCGCATGTTTGGACCCCTCATTAAGGCATGTTTGTCAACATGATTGATTTGATCTACTTGTTATATCAAAATACAAGTGTATAAACCTGCACATCAACCTCACTTTTGCTTTAAACTTCAGAATTTTTCTTTATTTTGTGAAACAATTCTTATTCCTCAAAAGCATAAATGTTTTCAAGACCAAAAAATTGAGAGAATGACGTTCAGCCGAAGGTCAGAATTTTTAGGCCCAAAGTACTGTTGGGGTAGGTGTCAGCTTGGAATTGATGCCAATTCAGGGGCAGGTATTGATGCATAGAGTGTGGGTATTTAGCATTTTGAATGTTTATAGATCTGCAGTGGGATTCAGAAATTTGCATTGAGCCTGTCCGTACTTTTCCCTACAGAGCCACGTGATGCCACAAATAACAATTGACCATCAGTAGAAAAGTACAAAACAACGAAGTTAATTTTTTTAGTTTACTTCTGTGACTGTAACATGTCACTTTTTCGTTAATAAGTTACCGTAAATATAGCGAGGAACCTTCAGATTTGAATTCGAATTCAATAAAGAACCGATTATTCGAATTTGATTCGATATAGAGATATTTGACCAGCTATATCGAATATCTGAATCTGAATAAGATATAATTGATTTTTTACCATTATGTCCTTCCAAAAAATAAAGAAATAACCTATAATATAATTTTATTAGATAGAAATAAAGGGCATTTAGGCCGTATTATACATGTACATTAATACTGCAATCAATTTGGCTATTCATTGGATAGAATCAGGCCATATTTGAATTTGATCCAATAAATTTAGTATAAACTTCAATTTTTTAAATCCAAATCCAGCCCATTAAACCTTGAATACGAAATCAGATCTTTGGATACTCTTTACACCCTTACTTTCTGGACCTCCAAGTGAAATAGATATATGAACTTGGCCAAAAGATCTTAACTATATCTAACGAGTAGTGATTCCTCGCCATACACGAAATCGAGAATTCATTGTTTTTTTTTTTTTTTTTTTTTTTTCAGCCCCAAGCATAAAAAGAATTGATAAAAGATTACGTGAAGAACCGCTTGCTCTCTTTTAGGCTTGCCTTGAGATACATCTCCTGGATTTAAATCCTCCCCAAGCCATTACACTTTTCAATTTTCAGATACCAAACAACCATAAATTTGTCTGCTACAATGTATTAAAAGACGGGCTATAAAAATTACATTTTGGATTTGTCGTGGAAAACCCGTTCTCTTCATCAAGTGTCAGGTTTGTGGACCATTAACATTATCAAATCCCTTTTCCTAGAATGGGGCTTTGTAGTTAGCTGATCCCATGTAAGATAGGATGTCTATATAATAAGTAACCTAAAGGTCCTAAACTGATATTGAAGCCCAAGTGGACAAGGGATTGATGGATGGATTTCTCTGACCTTTATTTTTATTTCCCTATATGTGGAATATATTTACAAGGATATGGAATTTTGGAACCCAGAAATATTCATTCTAGCTGGGCAATAAAATTTATACATACAAATATTGATGCAGAAAGAAAAACAATTTCACTCACCATCAAAATACATCACCTTCCCCTGCACGCTGATCTCAGCCTGCTTTTTATTCCAAGATTACTCGGCAACATCTTGAATAATCAAATCTTCATCCAAGAATTGCCACCGAGTTCAATGAATTGTAATAACTTCATCTCTATATTGCTCAGTGCCGATTGTAGACAAGTCGAGACAAAACTCTGATTGGGTTGCACTATGCCCCGCCAAAGACAGAACCCTTAATTCCCATGATTCCCCTACTCATGAAAGTCTTCGTAAGGTGAAGAACCACTTGAGGAATCACTTTCAAAAGGTGTAGCTTCCCTTGGAGATGATGGCATTGAGTCCCTCTGTTGAGAAGTTGAACCTGATATAGAACGAGGACAAATGAGCAAGTAAACTCAGAACAGTCAACAGATTGCATTTTTACAAATAATGCACACTAATGAAGAAACAAGTTTAACAATTATACTACCAAAAATATTAAAATTAATTGGATGGATGACAAAGAGCATCCAATCTAAAGAATGCTTCTGAACTGTATGCTTTTTTGCACAAGCCTCAATAGAGGCTAGTTGGTCAGATGGTTAACACTATCTTGTTGAATATCTGTCAAAGCAATCTTACGCTATTTAGACCTTAGGAGGTTTAGAGGAACTAAGAAATATTAGCCGAAAAAACGATTGGAAGAAAACCAATTGTCAATTTCACATATTCATGTCCTGAGCTGGTCTAATATGCAGGAGCTGAAGAATCAAATTTGGAAATTTCTGAAAATTTATGTATTTCTGTATTTTGGACAGTATGGGTATTTTCGTCATTTTGACCAGTCCCATTGGGCCTGCGCTAGCATCTTGTTCCTCTAGTTTAGTAGGGCTTCTCTTTCAATTTTCAGTTTATTTGCATTAGTATGTAGAAATTTGTGTTTCTTGATGCACAAGACAAGGAGTGGCATTTTTGTTTTATGGTGAATAACATTCCAAGCCACACAAGTCGCTCTATAAATAGATGTACTCTTCCTTTTGAAGCTAATGAATGAAGATTTCTTTAGAGTTTTCTTGCAAGTTTGCCGTATGGAGTGATTCCTACAAACCCTAGAGTGATTCTAGGACTCTTGGAGTGATTCCTTGGGAATACTCTTGGAAGAGATCCTGTAACTTGCCATTTTTAACATCTAGGGCATACTGTAGATTTCATCTAGACTTCACTATCATCTTTTGGGATAGATGTTACCTAAGGTCTTTTACAATGCATAGGACTTCTCTACATACTTCAGGAGTCAAACAACCTGGAAAATAACATGCAAACAATGACAACCCGGTACCAGTACAATGATTCTGTAATGTATCATGTTGGGTATTTCAATTATTGGTGTAATTTCAGTATCCAGCAGCTTGTCCAGCCATGTCCAAGCCACACCTAGGTAACATACCATGAAAAAAAGAGAGAAAGAAAAGAAAAATACCTTTCTGCCCCCTTGATCGGAACTTCTTTGTGTGTCTCCTAATTAGCCTCTTGGTAATTGTCAGTTGCCTGGCAAAAGGTGAGAACTCAGCATCACTTTCACTCCACTCACCATGGAACTCGTTATCTGCTTCACCCCTCATAGTTCGCAAGACAAATGCCTTGGCTTTACGACGCTGAGAATTGAAAAGACCTCTAATGGAGGTAACAAATCCATCACCTGCTCCATCACTGGGCCGCTTGAGCCAGGATATAGGGTACTGATCAGATTTCCCTGCCTGACCTCCATCACTGTCACTAAAATTAAGATCCACATCAGGAACACCTGCTCCACTGGCTTCTCTTTGGCTGTGGGCTTTATCTTTAAATTTCTTACCCTATACAGGAGACAAGAGAATAAAGCAATTAGGCTTGTTTACAAAATGAGATAATTCTAAATATATTTACTAGCAGTAAGTCTAGATTCCATGTATATTTCTGAAACAGGTAAAGTATAATATCATTGAATAGAGCAAAAAACATGTACAACAAGGAGCTATACACACGGATTTACAAATACTGACCATGCAGTCAGTCCTATACCCTCAAACCCTGATTTACTAAAAGATAATCAAAAACAAAAAAGGAATTATAATTTCTGTCCTTAAACAATCTGTTTACTGCTATACATTTTCCCCACAAAGTTTCTATATAAAATGATATGGTTTCATTTTAGTTAGGCAATTAAACTCACAAATCTCATCAACTAAATAAACCACTTAGTTTTAATTAATTAAAAGAGAGTTTTACAATCAAAACTTTCCAACCAGAAATGTGAGATGCAGCCTCAATTATAACAGGCATATTACAACTGTACCCACTACCCAGTACAGAAGGTCTCTATAACTCATTTTTTGTTAGGAAAATACAGAAATTATTCCATTTCATGAATAATTGGGACCTTCTGGGTAGTGGGTACAGTTGTTTCTGAAAAGGCTGTTGCAGAGTCTTGAAATAAAAGAAAAGTAATCATTGTACAGGTTTGAAAGAATTCAAACCAAACACAGCCTGATGGAAAAAAAAAGAACTTCAACGCTACTTAGTAGACTTCATCTTGTATTTTTTTATCAATAAAGGGTAAACTTTATTAGAAGAAAGAGCCAAGTAGTGGAGAATTGGGATTGAATCCCGCCTGCACGTGGATTCGTGGGTTGGGGGATGGGCTACCCCCCGCTGTGTAGAGCCCAGAAAAAGGAGGCTCTATTCATCCCTTGCTTTGCTAGCCCATCAGCGAAGAAGCTGGCACTTCTTCTGACCCAAGACGCCTTGACTTCAATGTCTTTTGTTAGCCATTTGAACCGCTTCCTTTCGTTGCTGTAATTTCAGAAACCACTGCTTTTCTTCTTTATCCAGTCCACCACTAGCTTTGAGCCTCCCTCAATAATCAATTTTCTAATGTTCAGATCCTTTGCCCTCTTAGCCCCTTCCACAGCTGCCAAAATCACCCACCCCAATGACCTGAGAACAGAGTGATTAGCCCCTTCCACCAATTCCTGATTGCCCTGGGTTTCCAACACTGCTCCCATCAAAATTCAGTTTTACAAACCCATTAGTTGGGGGGCACCAAGCCTGAATTAAGGCCTCCTTAGTCGGAGCTGAGGAAGCAATTTCCTTCCAGTTCCTCAGGAAAAGTTCCATTGGAACATCTTTAAAGAGATCCATTGCCTTCAACTAGTACACAGCTATGCTAAAAGTCACCTCAATGACAGCTTCTCTGCTTCTCTCTTTATCTGAATATAGCCTTGAGTTCCTTTCTTCCCAAATGGTCCAAATTATTGCAGCCCTTACACATCTCCACACCAGACCTCTCTTCTTTGGCCAACTAAAAGCTGTAGAGGCAAACAAGCTTTGCACATTCGATGGAGGGAACCACCTACACCCAAACAAAGATAGAAACCAGAGCCAAATACTTTTAGTAAAAGTACAGGAGATTAATAAGTGATAACTGGTCTCACCATCAGCCTTACAGAGAATGCACCAGTGAGGGGATAAGCAGCTGTTAGGTCTCTTTCTTTGAAGCAAGTTGAAGAAATAGTTGGTTAGCCACGAGTGTGGGGTTGCATACCCACACTCAGGCTCTAGTGTGTGTGGTTTCATACCCACACCTAGTTGTTTCTAATTTCTTTTATTAGTAGTTTCTATTTTTTGTTTATTTCCTATTCTTGTAAGGATCCTAAAAGCTATAAATAAAGGAGTGTATGGGGCAGCAGATCATTCACCACTGAACCCCTTCTTTCTTTTCTCCTCTTCATTTTTTTTTCTCTCTCTCTCTCTCTTTCTCTCTTTTCTTCTCTTCAAACCTGTAATACAGTAAACAGTTCTTCTTCTTCTTCTTTCAAGTTGGTATCAGAGCCTTAGATCTAGGGTTTCTCATGTGGATTTAATTCAACCGACCACATGAGAATTGTTTAGGGCTGAAAGTTCAGAAAGATCCTTATTTCGGCTGATTCTTGGAGGTTGCAAGAAGGCTTTGGCAGCTGCCCTAAGATTGGAGAGAGCTTCTTGTAATCAGGAAGAATCAGGTAGGAATTGAGTGATCAAGATCGATTCTTGATCAAGATTGGAGGTGCCAATCAGTTTTTTTTTTCTTGGTTCTTTGATCAAAATTCAAGGTGCTGACAGTAATTGATTGATCAAGTTTGAAAACTGAAGGTAGCAATCAGTTTTTTGGGCTTTTTTCTTCATAAAGTAAGTACCTTTTCTTGAGATTGATACTCAAAAGGACTTTGTTATTCATTCAAAGAGGTACGGGTAGAAAATCTCAGGACTGATATCAATCCCAGGACAGTAGTTGACTGTTATCATTGTCAACTACAAAATCATTGTCCTAGGTCAGCTGTTATCAGCCTTGAAATACAGTTTTTTCTTGTCACAGTAGTTTAAAGCCTCTTCTTAACTTGGAATGGAGTACAAGAACCAAGGGAAAGGTGCTTTTGGGACTGGCGGTTCAGGTAACATGACTGAAAACACCTTTCAAATTACAACTATTAAGTTTGATGGATCAAATTACTTGGAATGGGCCCAATCAGCCATGATGGCTATTGGGGGTAGAGGAAAATTGAACTTCTTGCTAGGGAATGTGAAGGAACCCTCCAAGGAGGACCCTACTTATGCTAGGTGGGGGTCCAAGAAAATTTTTTGGTGATGACATGGCTGTGCAACTCTATGCAGCCACAAATCATCCGAAACTACTTGTGGGCCAAAACAGCTAAGGAAATATGGGATGTTATGAAGGAAACTTACTCTAAGCCTCTTAATGATGCTAGGGCTTATGAGCTAAAATGTGAGGTTAAAAATCTGAGGCAAGGAGAGAAGCAGGTCTCTGTTTACTTTTCAACCTTAAAATCCCTGCGGCATGAAATTGACCATCTTGAAACAATTGAGTGGGAGAGTCGGAAAGATGCATAAACATATAGAAAGCAGGTTGAAACTAACAGATCTTTTGAGTTCCTAGCTGGTCTAAACTCTGAATATGACATTGTGAGACAACAGTTGTTGACAAGAGATAGTGTGACTTTATCACAAGCCTATTCCCTAGTGCATAGTGAAGAAACTAGGAGAAAGGTTATGTTGCAGCAACAACCCTCCGAATCAGCCTTGGTAGTAGTTAGACCTAAATCTAGGGGGGATAAGGAGAAGAAAGAAGCTAAGAAGGACTTAGTATGTGAACATTGCAAGAAACCTAAACATACTAAGGACACCTGTTGGAAGGTGCACCCTCATCTAGTTCCAACAAAGCTCAGAAATAAGAAAGGGGATGCCAATATGGCTATCAACACTGATAGTACAACTTCATCAGGCACAAGAGGCACTCCTCTAGATACCCTACTGCAGTCCGAGCTGCTCTGACTCAGCTAGAAAATGAATTTAGTAATTCAGCTCAACCTGCTCAATAGCCTACTTCAGCTAGAAAATGAATTTAGTCCGATCTGCTCTGCTCAACAGCCTACTTCAGCCCTTGCTCATACAGGTACAAGAGCTACTGCTTGTCATGCTTCTGTCCCAGGTAATACTAAACCTTCCTGGGTAATAGATTCAGGTGCTTCAGATCATATGACCAGCATATCTACTCTATTTAGCACCTATTGTTTATCCTCTGGGAGAGACAAAGTTTCTATTGCCGATGGCTCTCTTGTACCAATTTCTGGAAAGGGAGACATCAGATTATCAGATACCATCACCCTATCCTCATCTTTGCATGTTCCCAAGCTTGGTGCTAACTTACTTTCAATTAGTAGTATTACTAAAAATAAAAACTGTTTGGTAACATTTTTCCCTGATCAGTGTATTTTTTAGGATTTGGAAACGAAGAAGATGATTGGGATTGGCTGTGAGATGAATGGAGTCTACTTGTTGGAACATTCACAGGGGGAGCAGAGTGAAGCAGGGAAATTGTTTGTTTCTCAGTCTTGTAGTAAGATTATGCTTTGGCACAATCGCTTAGGTCATTTATCTTTTGGGTCTTTAAAGAGTCTTTTTCCAAACTTGTTTGAGTCAGTAGAAGTGTCCAAGTTAAAATGTGAAAGTTGTGAAATTGCAAAACATAGTAGATCATCTTATCCTTTAAGTAATAAAAGAAGCAACCTTCCTTTTGAGATTGTGCATACCGATATTTGGGGGGCCTACCATACTCTCACCATGGGGGGCTACAGATATTTCTTATTATTTGTTGATGACTATACCCGTTTTCCATGGGTCTATCTTATGCACTCTCAAGATGAGGTCCCCTCTTTGACCCAAGCTTTCCATAAGATGATCCTAACTCAATTTGAAACCAAGATCAAGATTCTTAGATTTGATAATGCCAAGGAATACTTTGCAAAACCATTGGCATCCTATCTCCTTGATCATGGGATCATTCATCAGAGCACCTGTCCTCCCACACCTTAGCAAAACGGGGTTGCTGAGAGAAAAAACATGCATATCTTAGAGGTAGCTAGAAGCATCATGCTCAACTCCAATGTTCCCCTCAAAACTTTTGGGTGTACTTGTTTTGTTCAAATCCTTGGAGGCAGGTTGATTCTCGTACTCAACAGCAACCCAAGCCAGTTCCAACATCTTCTACAACTCCAGATCCAAACACTACTACTGCTCCCACTGTTACAAAGGTTCAGCCTTCACCGATAGATGACCTTGATCTTCCAATTGCTATTCGTAAAGGGAAGCGCTGTTGCATCTCATCACTGCCCATTGCATCTCCAAGTTCCTTTCCTATAATTGTCCCTCAGAATCCTACAAATCTTACTTGGCATCTATTTCTTCTATTCCTATACCCAAAAAAGTGCAAGAAGCTCTTTTGATACTTGAATGGAAGGAAGCAATGCAAGTAGAGATGGAT